TTTCCCTTTGATGTTACGTACGAATGAGTTCATACCACCCACCTCACTATCACCTTCCACCGCCAAAGGACTTATAACAATGACACCACTGTTATCTTCCTGGATGACACCATGCACTGCGTTGTTGTCTACCATGGGGACACAAGCGACAAAAAAGGCGTCCAACACGATGCTACCACGAATTATTTGGCATTTGTCACGACCAACATCTGCACCAACCACATTGTCAACAATATGTACTTCCGCACATTTATTCGCGACTTCACCACCACTGTAATGTTGCGTCACACTGTGCACTACAAGCTCAGCAACTTGCTCCTCAAGGACAGCAACCTTGCGTCATAACTCTGCATTCTCAACTGCCAGTTTCTTGCATTCTTTGTCTTTCACCCTAAAAATGCTCTCAAAACCTGCCACCAGATTAGCTGATTGCATCTCATTCTTCTTTTTCAATATAACAACTTCTTTCTTCAACTCTATTACAATTATGCGGCCCCTTCGTCCCCCATCCCAAAATCAGGACTACTTGGCCCCACGTGTTCGTACCCGTCCCGCCCCACCGGACTACTACACTGGGGTGCAAATTGACCACCTGGGCCATCCAACTCCTCACTATCTCATCTGCCACGTTGTCGGCTTTGCATATTATAACCAGACGTCAACCACTCATCATGTATGTTTCCACTACGGCGTTTACTATTAGTAATCCCGTTCATGTCAACCATTTCAAACATGCTCCCACCCTCCTTCCACCTTATCACCATCGTCATCAACTAAAACTGCATTTCTTACACCTTGAACACCCTTCCCTTTTAGAATTGAAACCTTGTGCTCCTGTTCAACCAACTGGCCCAAGTTCACCTACAAAAAAACACAGTCACTGTCAACCCAAAATCGCCGCCATCTGACACAACAACAAAAACTGTAACGTTACGCTTAATGGACTAACAAATTACCCAAGAAATCAAAAATAGTTACCTCAAAATTGCTTGGCCAAATAGTTTTAAACCATGCATAGTAGATATTACCTCACCAACATCCCATATGAGAAATCTAGGAAACCTGTGCCTATGTTTGGGTTTCACAATGTTTGTGTGTTCACGTAGCCAAAACTATAGCACAAACCACCAGAAATCAGCAACCCATGTAACAACCAACCTAAGTTTTACCGAATAAAATTAACATAGGAAACAAAAAAAAAAAAAATACTAATACCCAAAATATAAATACTACACTTACCGTTAAAGCAACTACGCATCTAGAAACTTTCTCCGGTGTTCGATGGAAGTCCCTCACCAAGCACATCAGCATGCTACATACGGCGCCACTCCAATCATACAATTTCATCGCGCCAATGTTATCAATGTACCAGATTAAGGTCCAACTAATTGTCTCGCCGGATGTTGCAAAAAACAATTTACCACACACGTACAGACAAAGGAATTTGGTTGTGTCCTCATGATCGCCCGGCGTGTCCCCTGCTGCAGCTTCCAACATCAAATCCCTTACAAGCTTCGCAGTTATCCGGCTTGTTCCGGGGCACGTCCACTGTACAAAATCGAACGCAGGTCTTGGCCGTGGCGTTATATCAAGGAATGCATTTCCATCTTACAATCCGAACAATAGCTTCACGTCCTCATTCGAGACATCAACGCCGCATCCCCAAATAACAAACTTCCCTTCCCAGACACTATACGCCCTTATAATGCGCACAATTACATCATCACATTTACAGAACATGGTGTGGTCAAGCTAGTTAATTAATATCGATTCCACCATAAGCTAGAATAGTGTCTTCTTCAAATGTATCAGGTCCACTTCTCTCAAATTTATTACGTATACCATTTTAATGATTCCTGCAACATTAGACCAGAAGTTCAGCCGAGGTTTGATCCCCTTCCTAGCACCACCTGTACAGGCCACACTGTTAGGTTGTTTGAACAGGACTCGTCCAGGCATGTTTACCCTAATTTTACTTCTAGACGACGAGCCTAACTCCACTTGCCGTTTATGCTCACATGAACGCGTCCACTGACTTGTCCCCGTGTTCACCACTGCATTAGCACATGTCACATAAGCAAAACAGACAAATTCTACAACAAAACAAATTTTAGTCTTTCTACAATCAAAAGTACCAAACCTATTCACATTACGAACACATAATCACCTATAATACGTTAACAAAATTTGCTCCACGATAACGCCACATTGTCAACACGACAAATGCAACATTCTCCACGTAATCATATAACATGAAATACGAAAACCCTTTCACAGTCGAAAAACATAATATTGTCAAAAATTAAAGAAAACCCTCATATATAGCAAACACATGACACAACAAATCACAGACACCATCAGTTATTAAGCCACATAGCAAATTACATTTTAATCTAACACGCAACAGATGCCACATCAGACCCAAAGCCATAAAACATGTCAGTCCAACTACGCATTTCCCATAATTAATTATTATAAAAACATTTTACCATCCGCGCACACACTTGCATACGGTCCCCCTACACCATGCCCTATTCGTACAAATTAAACCACCCCTCACCACCAAATATTCCATTTCACATTCTTCATGACACATATCCCCAACACATGGAATGTAACCACACAACAACCCGATCTGAAGGATTTCATTTATCCACCCCACCACAGACATACAACAACCCCACCAACATGGGCCTACAGGTACAATATGTCCCACGTTAGAAAACCAAAACGCATAGACAATCAATCCCAACAATGCACAATAACACAACACACTACAGACATAGTGGGAAACGCGCCATAACGTAACAATCGAAAATATGATACATACATACATGTGTAGACAACAACTAAACCCTAATCATATCAAAATAGTCTAATAAATGTATACTAATAAGCCAAACCATAAACAACTTACATTTCTCAGACATTGAACAAGACTTCGTTCGCACCGACAATGGGACTTAACTCTGATTAAGGGAGGTTCACAGAGCCATACCTCTTTTTGCCGCAGCTAGTAGGGTTCTTCACGACCAACAAATCACCACAGAGTCTCTGATGCACACTAACAATGCGACAAATATTGCCTAAATCTGTATCGTGGATTTCGAAATTACGAAAGTTTGAAATTCAAATCCGAAAAGGGGATTATTGTATCAAATGTTAGGGTTCGCGTTGAAAATCTCCATCGATTCATATTCCCAAACAGGAAATATTCACCATTTTTTTGGGAAAAACATTATGGGTTGGGTTACACCGTAGTTGGGGAAAATTTCGAAACTGGGTTTGATGGGTCATGTGACAACACTACTCCTCAACTTCACACAAACCCCACTAACTGAATCTACTTCACGTCTTACAATCACCTGCTTGTAATACACACCATCTAAAATAAGTACTACTAGCGTTTTTTATTGGGACGTGAAGCACAAACACACCCAATTCCTATAAACACAAGCGCGCCAAACAAACACAAATTAATACCTCAATGGGAAAATAGTAGACACACAATCATGAGGACTTAACTATTTGAAAGAAAACAATTAAGACCACATGATCTACAAGATAGAAAAATGGGATTTACGGGTCAATTTCTCTTTAAAAAAAATTAATAAATTTTAATTTGTATTTTTTTTATTTTTAGTTAATTTTTTAAAATATTTCAATTAATTATTTTTATTTTTTAAATTTACTTAAAATATAGGAATTACAATATATATATAATTCAATATGTTTATTTATTTATTTATTTTTATATTTTTTTCACAAATATTTTATTTTTTAAATACTTTTAGATTAGGTACATTTAAAAAAAATTTAAAATTACTAAAAATAAAAAAATATGAAAAATAAAAATACGTAAAACTTCAAAAATTATTTTTGAAAATTGAAAGCGTGGTCAATTTATTTGATAATTAGTTTTTGAAGAGTGTTTATAAATTTTTTTAAACATTACTTATTTAAAGTTGTACTTAGAATATTGTGGCTAAATATTAAATTTTGAGAAATTAATGAAAACATTTCTCTAGAGGATCCTCACGCGTAGGGGAGGTTCAATATGAATTTTTTTTTTTTAGGAGGAGGGTAGTTAAGATCCCTGAGTACAAAACTCACTCAATTCACCCATACCCACACCTACGGATTCACCTCCTCTCCAGCGCTTTACAATCCAGCCAACCATTCCACCAAATGGAGACGCGTGGCGTTTAGTAGATCTGAAGGCACCAAGGAGGCCATGTCTATGGAGTTGCTGAGTTAACAAAACGACACCGAAATTTGTAGTTTTGGGTTAACGGAAGGTGACTAACGGAATGATTCAACACTTATAATAAATAAAATAGATAAATGATTTAATTTTTTATTTTTATTTTTTTTTTACTTTTTTGAACTGTTTGAACCTACTTCCGTGGGTCAACCCGTTGGTCGACCAGTAAAGACAAATTTTTTTTTTTTACTTTTTGAACTGTTTGAACCAGGCCAATATTGCATGCACTGGTCGACCGGTTGGTCAACCGGGTGGTCGACCAAGGGGTCGACCAGGTGGTCATCCAAGTGGTCGACCCATGTGTAAAATTCTGAAGCTTTTCTGCTTCCCTTAGTCTAAGCCAATCTATTTTATAACAAATCAGATTTCCCTTAGTCTAAGCCAATCTATTTTCTAAAAAATCTATTTTATAACAATCCAATTGTACAATCTCAGTGAATTCAACTCAACCACATTAGTGTTGTCCTGCAATACATCCTTATAAACAATCTCATACCCACCTCATCAAATATGCTTATCAACAACAATATCTACAAAATCAACTCTTGCGAGATATTCTTCATTGTCCCAAAAATAAAATTTCATACCCAAAAAAAATCACTTCTACGATTCAATGGACCGTATAGCAATAGAAATATTCACAATCCACATTGACAATAAACATTCCCAAATTTAATGTTCACAATAAACATTCCCAAATTTAATATTAACAAAAATCTTTCACTTGCAACAATCTTCATCGGTCTCCAAGAATTTCTGGATATATTGGTGTAGAGGAATTCCGAACAATGTTTAGATTGGGAACCTGTGAAGTAAAAAACATAATCAGAATGAGTTCAAAGCATAGAATTGAAGGATATCCACAATAATTCATGTTGCATACCTGATTGTAATATGTGCTAGTCGAGCATTGTGATGAGTTAAGCAAAGTAAATCCTTGAAGTAAGGCTCGGAAGTTGGCATATTGAGGCTCTCCATTCCATGTCCAAGGCACTGAATTTGGTACTTCAGCTAATGGTTGCCTCATATGTGGGAGTATATTCGAAGATACATGTATATCCTAGAAATTGAAATTTCTTGAAAAGAACTCGAATAAATTTAAAAATGTAAAGATAAGAACACAAAAAAATAAGTATTACCTGCATTGAAGTTGGTACTTGAATATATGGTGGCATCATATGTGGGAGTATATTTGAAGATGCTTGTACATCCTATCAAGATAAGAACTTAGATGAAACCAGGTAACATAAATTGAAAAATTTAAATAATGTAAAGATCATAAAAAAAAAACAAAAAAAAAATTAAATAATACCTAAACGCGTTGCTTTTTCTTTCTTGAAGTCTCCAATGCCTTTTCCAAGCTACTTTTAATCCGTCGCCTTCCACGAATGGGGTCAATCCTTTTCTTCAGTCCCTTCGCTTGAATGACATTTTCACTGCCCTCATTCATTCTCATTGTAGAGCTAGCATCATTTAAGTTTAGTGGTCCATTGGTGATACGTATACGCAACTTATTTTGAACAAATGCGAGCAATTTTTTCCCTTCCTGAACACAATCTTCATATGTTTCTTCCAATTCAGATGCCTGGGATGAAATCATAGTAAAGAGGGAGCACAATGACTTGTATCTGCTGCTCTGTTCCAACTTAGGGTCAGCTTGAATATCGCGCCCTTTGTAATCTTGGACAATTTCAACTCTTGCTAATTTGGTCCACCTTTTCAGGATATATTGGCTTGGAATTTCCATTATAATCATTTCATCTTTAAGAACCTTAATAACATGACTACACAATATTCCTTTCATCTCAAACAACCTACAAGAACAAGACAAATTACCATCTTTGTCTTTCTTCACTTCACGCATTGTAGATTGTCGATATGCTTTGACAATATAAACCAAACAATCATCCTTGTGAACACAATTTGCTACGTATAACTCAAGTGAACCCACATATTCATCTTGAAATTCTTCAAAGATAGTTTTTGTGTAAACATCTCCTGCCTGAGTCAACATCAGAACTTGGACTTTTATCCTAGGCAACTTATATGACAATGCATACTCAGCTTCATATTCCTTATATCGCTTCTCATTAAGCACCCTTTCAAAGTGAATGAAAAATTGAATCAAATTGTAATCTGATCTCAAGTACTCTTTCAAATCAACATTTAAGCTCTCACTAAGTTGTGTGCTCTTCATCCCTGCTGACCATGTCCACCTAACATATGCCCTAACCCATTTTTTCCTTAAATGAAAAATGCTTTGCAGCCATGAATTATCATGAACATCAAACTCATCTAACATAGCATTCCAAGCTGCAAAAAATTCCTCTTCCTCCTCATACGCATCTATAAACTTTCCCAAAACACTTCTTACCCCACCAGGACCGCTAAAAATGCCACTCATATGTTTTATAGCATTTTGCATCATATGCCATGTGCATAGCCTATGATATGTGTTAGGCATCACATATGAAATAGCCTTAGCCATTGCTGCATCCTGATCTGTGAAAATAGTTTTTGGAAGTTTATTTGACATTGCCTCTAAAAAAGTTTTAAACAACCATATAAACGAATCGGTTGTTTCATCATACATCAATGCAGCTCCAAAAACAATGGTCTCTCGGTGGTTATTGAAGCCAACGAAAATAGGAAAAGGGCGGCTTTCTCTATTAATCTTGTATGTTGTGTCAAATGTTACAACATCCCCAAATTGACCGTAGTCAATTATCATTCTAGCATCTGCCCAAAAAATATTTGTTATTTGCTCTTCAGTATCCAACTGCACAGAATAAAAGAATGAAGGGTTTTGTACCGTCTGATCTTGAAAATACTTCAATATGCTCCCTGCTTCACCAAATTCCAACATTCTGTCTTTTTGTTCTTAAATAATTCTCTTGATCTTTTTTCAAAAACCCAACACATTCCCTTCTACTTGCCTCTCTACCCATTAACTCATAGGATGACCTAAGAGGTATCCCACAGTCATCTGCTAAATCTATTTCAATATATTGAGAGGTGGAAATTTTTCTTTGGGAAGGAAGCATATGAGCACATGCACTTACTACAAGGGGATGGTTATGTGTTTCTACAAAATTGATAACTCTATACTTCCAATTTGCCTAATTAATTTAATGCTCATCAAAGCACCACAACCGGTCCTTGTCTCCGCCCTAGGAATCCTTACAGCAAAATCTCTTTTATCAGATTTTCTAAGACCCTCCTTAGAACAAACAAATGTCCTTGAAGTAATTTCACCGGTCTTACTTTTATGAGCATATTCTTTTCTAATACTAAATCCAACTCTTCCTACATAAGAATTATAAAATTCATAAGCTGATTGTTCAGAGTCAAATTCCATACCTAATATGGATTTACATTCTGTATCATCCTCGCCATGAACATCCATTTGGGTAGCAATTGTTAAATCATCCATCTTCGATATATCCAATACCTAAAATGCAAAACAGTAAACATGATTTTTTATCTAATAAATATGTGAAAGCAATACATGGTTAATGTTCTTAAATGATATTGAGGCTCTATTTTACACATTAATGTTCTGTTTCATACTATCGACTAAATCAATTTTTTCTTTTTCTAAATATTTGATTTGTGGAAAAATGATTGTCTTCTTCTAAATCAATAGAAAACTTTACAAAAGTATCTAAAAGCCTAACCTTGATTGATATGACAAATCTGTTTTTGCTTAAGAGTGAAAAAAATATTTTCAGTGAAATATGAGCATCATATACATACCAGATTTTAGGTGGGTTTTCTAAAATTACTAGATTTATGAGCATCATATATTAATGAGTTCTCAAACTGACAGACTATTGCTAATCTGTTCAGTGAAATATATAAATGAGATTTATATGTGCTCATTTATAAATGAGCATATATAAATAAGCATGAAAACTATTGCTTCTAGATTTTAGGTGGGTTCTCAAATAGACTAGCAAATATATATATATGAGAATCTAATTTCAAGATTTTCACCATGATTCACACCCATGTTTGCAAGTCTATGATTCATTGAGGCATTTCATCATACACTCGGAATGGATTTGAACCCAAAAAAAAAAAAAAAATAAACAAAAATAAACTACTACAAATCTAACCTTTGGTGTCTACAATTGTTTGGGTAAACAAAGATTTTCAAATGATGAGTCCAAGGATGGCGAAGCCTTCTACTGTCGATTGATTATAAATGGAAAAAAACTGAATCATAGATAGGGGACTGGGTTCTGAGAAAGAGATAGAGAGGGAAGGAGAGATTGGGTTCTGAATTTATGAAAAAGGCGGGAGAAGGGATCTGAATCTGGATATGTAATTCAAAATAAAAAATAAAAAAAAACTTTCCGTTACATACCTCCATCTAGCCAAAATGATAGAACTTGGCGTCGTTTTGTTTGTTTCTTGAGCATCACAGACGTGGCTCCCTTTTCGCCCGTCAGATCCGTTGTCGCCACGCGTCTCCATCTGGTGGAATGGCTGGAGGGAGCCGGACTGTAAAGTGCTGGAGAGGAGGTGAATCCCACACCTAAACCTACACCTACACCTACACCTACACCAACACTCACATCCACCTCTCTCTCTCTCTCTCTCTCTCGATTTGAGTATGGGGTTCCCAACCAAGAGCTCATCAAAGAAGCCCCTGAGATTCCTAATTTGAGTAGCAACTATCAAAGTCGAAGGTAACATGCTCTCTATCTCTCTCTGTAAATATATATGTGTGTGTGTGTGTGTGTGTGTGTGTGTGTGCGCGCGTGGGTGTATGTGTGTGAACTTTGAATTCTTTTGATTTTGTGTTTTGTTACATTGCTGTAGAATCTCTGGTTGAGTTCTTTTCAACGAACAAGAACATTGTTAGGTTTGACAATGTGAGTATGAAATGGATTATGTGTAATTTCTTTATACTAATTTGAATTTTGATCTTTTTTTCGTAGTTATGTGAACTTTGATTTGATTTTGTTGAATTAAATGTTTTATAGCTAGACTTGTATGTTTCAGTTCTGGATTTGTTGAAAGCATTTTGGCATGAATAGGAAATTAATATTCTAATTTGAATAGGATCCTTCTATTCCAAATTTCGAAGAAATTTCTCTATGATCATACCAAAGAAATTTCTCATTCACTCTAAATTTTTCTCTGTGAAAAGTCTTCACAGAGAAATTTGTTTTAAATTTTTGAAAGGTATAAAGATAGTGTTTAGCTCTTATTAGTTTAGTTCAACAAATGGATGGGGGATTATAGTATGAGATGGACTTCTCTTTAGTTTAAATTTAAATTGGAGAGGTGTTGCCTAGGCTTGTAGGGCTTACTATGAGTTTCATTTCAATAATTCGTACTGTTCATTTTTTAAGATGTTCTGCTTTTATCACTTATTAAAAAAAAAGGCTGATTTGATTATTAGAAATTTTTTATTTTATTGCATTATCTTTAAAAAAATCATAATTTAATTTAAGAACCACGCTTAGTCATTAATTTTTTTAAGACAAACAATTATCACCATTGCACCTAAAATCCATTTTTCAACATAATCGTAACATGTCCAAAGCCACCTCTTAACACCATGGCATCACCTAAAGCTGCCTTGTAGTGTCAATTACACTACTAAGAGCCACCAACTTACCCAAGTTCCACCACCAACCACCATAAATCATCCATTGCAAACCAAGTCAATGCCATATCTCCATTGCACACCAATTTCCTAATGCCACTACATACCACCATCGCCATGTTCTCAACCTCATCGTGAAGGGCAAAAAAGTAATTTGACTGTGATAATGGAGGGAAAAAATATATTTTAACATTATTCATTAGTCCAATAATTCATTTATGTCACTAGTAATGGTGCCGTAACAGCCGTAATGGCCTCTTACGTACTGTTACATAACGGTTCTGAACTGCTTCTTTCGAAAAAAACACACAAAAAAAAAGCTGAAAATGGAGAAAGAGGGATAGAGAGAGAAGAGGGAAGATGGAGGAGCAAAAGATAGAGAGAGAAGAAGGTAGATGAAGAACATGTTATTAATTTGTTGAAGCTGTAAGACCTATACTATTCTATTCAGTTGCTATTACTCAACCATTTTGTTTGTGTGTCTATCTATATATTGTTTGAAAATAATAATAATAAGTATGGTCATTATCTATTTGGCTTGATTAAAAAATATATAGATATATATTTAAGCTCTTATTTATTTTCTTACTTTTGTCATTATTTGTTTTACATATAATAGTTAGTGATTGATTTTTTGTATAACATAAAGTTATTAATTATTAAAATAAAATGCAAAAAACTCAGTTTATAGTGATTTAAAAATATGAAATATATTAGATCATACTTAAAAATTTACAAAAATTGATCAATATTTATTTTAAAACCTAATAAATATGATCATGGAAGGAAAATATGCGTATCGGTAAGTTTTTTTCAAATTATGCGAAAAATAAAAAAATTCACGGTTCCGGTTACCGCAACCGTTACGCTACAGCCTTTATACCCCGCAACCGCAACGGCAACCGTGCTACCGCCACCGTTACGGTGACTGCAACCGCTTATCAGAACCCTGGATAAATTATACTGTTGATCTCTGTACTTTGATTCTTATGTTATTTTGATTTTTGTAATTTTAATTAATTTAATTTTGATTCTAAATTTTTGATTTTGTCTCAAATTAGCTTAATTGATTCCAATTGTTAACAATTTCTTTGGAAAATGCATACATGAGCAACACGTGTCATGTTTTTAGAGATAAAATTATAAACTTAATCAATTCAGTGATAACTTTAACCAACTCAGTGATAATTTTTTGTCAAAAATCCAAATGACGTTATTAATTGCACCAAAATTGACGCAAAATGTAAAATTAATAGTTAAAATTGAATTAATTGAAATTGAAGAGATCAAAATAACACAAGTAACAAAGTAGAGGAAAATTGGTATAATTTGCCCTTAAGTATTGATGAGAGAGAGAGAGAGAGAGAGAGAGAGAGAGAACAAACCGATTTGAGAGACAGTGGCTAGTTGTATTGCAGCAGCAAAACCATCTGAAATGAAGAAGAGTAACCAAATCAAGAGGAAGCAGCAAGTGAGGAGAGCACAAGCCTTGTTATTCTTCACCATCCTGCTATTTATTCCAACTAAGAATTTTGTTAAGTAGATTTGCTAGATAGATAGGGATAGTTATATATCTTCACACGACTAGTGGACAAAAAAATATTTAGAAAGTTATTGTACTATGATCTAAATTTAACTCATATATTTAGGGATTTGTATTTCAAATAAATTTGAATTACATAATAATTTTTCTTAAAATATTGTGTATGAGTTTTGTGTACCCAACAAAGTTTTATTTATTTATTTATATACAATATTTTGGCAGGGATTCTTCTGAGTAATTTCGAAATAGTTGGAGTGGCTGAATTCCATTATGAGCAGACCAAATAATTTAGAAAGAGTACTATGGCCTTGGGAAAAAAAAATGAACTTCGGACTTGTTGCACCTCCTGTTTCTATGTCTTTTTCGAGGAATAAGAAATTGTTCAATAAAAAACTTTAAAAAAAAAAAGAAAAGAAAAAAATGTTAGATTTCTTTCAAATTCGTATTTTAACTTAGAGAATTTGGAGGGCTCATGAGGCCCACCATAAGTTTCATTTTGATAATTCGAACTGTTTAGTTTGTAAGTTTCTTCATGTATATCAATCTCAAAAAAATTCAATTAATCCGATAATCATAAATTATTTATTTTTTAAAATATATATATATTTTTAAGACAAATATAATAAAATAAAAATTATAATTATTGAATTAATTTAATTTTTTTTAAGATGATATATTCCCCTCTTATCTCTCTCAAACTTTACACCACACCCACTTACGAGTCTTCTCTCTCTTCTTCCCCATTGCCATGCTACCAGCACTTTGGGTGTGGGCATTAACTGAGTTGGAGTTGGGTCAGACCTAAGCTGTATAAAATAAATAAATCTCATGTACAGTGTGTGAATAAGTGACCAAATTGTAAATTGAATAAGTGTACAGTGTGTGACTAAGTGACAAAACAGTAAATCAGAAATTGCAAAAGCAAGAAATTGCACAAAATACTTCTAGAATTACTGAAATAAATTTCGGAAAACAAATTAAATTTAGATCAGATTAAGGGTTTGATACTGTCTTTTTAAAATAGATTTGTCTCTCACATTGCTACTTATGAATCTATGAATCTCATGTCTAGGATGAAATGATCTATTCGTAAATTGAAGCAACATTACAATCAATTTGCCCAGTAAATCAAAAACTATGTTATGTACTCTCAAAAACTAAGTATGCAGAATATATGCAGTAAGAATTAACGAAAATTGAATGAATTGGAAAAACGAGTGACAACTTTTTTATAGCCATCATAGAGACTATTAAGAGAGGTTGCAACTCTTTAAAACTAGCAAAGGTTTGTGATTTCCTTAGAGGAATCAAAGGCCCCGCTTGATTATTATAGTCACCTCTTTTCAAAAGAAAAAATAAAATCCAAAAAAATTCAAATAAAAAATTAAAAGAATTTTTCTGTAAAAAGAATATATTGAGCTCTAATCACCAAACCTGCACTCAACCCGGTGTTGGGTGGGCCGGGCAGGTGACATGTTTGTGTGTAGGATTATAGTTGATGCTATTGATGGAAGTAATCCAAAAAGTAGACTCCTAAGTGGTTGTTTTCTTCCGCTTCAAAACCCTTGTTTTAGTTGTCTTTCACATTATAAGGAAAATGTTTGAGACCCCTATAAAAGAGGACTCTCATAACCTCCATTGATGTATGAACTATTGATGTGTTTGAATTTTTTTTTAAAGTTATGTCTAATAGCGACATGAATGGTTCAGATCATTTTGAGGATTATGTTTTGTGGGGGTCTCTATCATTGTTGACATTATAATTGGAAAAATATGATATGGAGGTTACATTTCTCCAAAACCCTACTCTAGTCGTCCTTCACATTATGATTGGAAATATATGATATAGAGGCTAAGTTTTTGAGTGCGAACCTTAACTACATATTCAGAAAGGGTGGTGTTATTTACCCCTACCTTTTTTCTTAGGACACCCATCTCTTTTTCCAATTTTTTTTTTTTTTTTAAATTTCAATTTCGTCCAAACGTGAAGTTCCATTTTTCTCCTCATTCCTAACCTTCTATTCCTAATTTTCCAAACCCTAACCCTAATCCTAATCCTAATCCTACCATCTCCCTAGACCCACCCACCACCTTCCTCATTGACATCCAACCCCGCCGCTGGAGTCCCTTTGCGGCAACCATCTGGTACGCCTCGCTCTCTACATAGCCATGGCCCATATGATGGTCTTGCCTTTGCCATTTTCATTCTCTA